TCGGGTTTTTTTGACATCCCTATATACATGGTGCATATTTTTTTATCGAAGGGGGCTTATATTGATAAAATAGCATTCAGATAGAGTCTGAAATAACAAAAGGACCACATGTAAGCATCCGCCCTTGGACCAGACTCAGAGTTAACCACCTTTGACAAAGCAATATAACTCGTTGATCCTAACTTGGGCATAACTAAGCCAATGACAATTACCGTAGACCTTTCATCCCCCATTACTAATGCAAGAGTTTTACAGCATAAAAAGAATAGAAACAAAACACAACTATCTGAGCGTGGAAATAAAAACGCAAAAACACAATGAAGAAAACACCAAAACTCGTCCTCCTAAGCAGAATCACCAAGTGCACCATCGGCGGGTCTAGAAGTCCTGACCCGCCGCCTCCCCATTTTTTTACTCATCAAGCGTCATGCCCTCACTAGTTGTAACCCATTTGATTGGCCTTCCCAAATCCTCCTGTGTTTTGCCTAGGGTTGGGACCGGTTCGGTTCTTACTCAAAATGAGTGGAACCGTTATAAAAAATCAAGAATCGTTATGGAACCGAACCGGTAGTAAACGGTTCGGTTCTTCCTTTTACCGGTTCCTAGAATAATTTTTTCTCGTCTAAGAATTAACACATAATTTTAAACACGTCGAAAATTCAAAACACGAGTATTAAAATTTTATTTGAAGCTCTAATCACTTCGAACATCAAATCTCAAACTTAACTAATGAACTTTGAACACTTAATAGAACAAAAGTGATTTAAATTTTCATGTAATAAATGAAACATTAAAAATCGTTGTATTGTCGAAGCGATGAAGGTTACTCGTCATCATAGTAGCAAGAATAGGACGCCTACTTCAAGTCGTTCAAAACATATAAAAAAAAGACATTGAGTTTGCATGTATAGATATAAAAAAAACATTATTACATTCTATTGATTCATAATAAATCTAATAATTAGAAATATCATGAAAATAGTAAAGTAAAATATGTGCAATCAACTACAAGTTATTTGGGTTATTTTATATTTATAAAATTTATGTGATGGAACAAAACTTGATTTGTAGAAAGGCGTTTAATGTATTATATCAACCTCATATACAATATTTATTACTTCTTTTCCGTTGATTAAGTTAGAATTGTTAGTTAAATATCTTATATTGTTTTATTATTGTTGTTGTGGTGGTGGTTTTTATTGCTATTATATTATTATTATTGTTGTTGTTACTACTACTACTAATATTATTTTATTTTTTATTTTTTTTAATAACGGTTCCTTAACGGTTCCATGCACATATTTTTTATAGGAACCGGGAACCGAACCGTTATACGGTTCGGTTCCTACAAATGAGGCATCAACTGTTAACGGTTCGGTTCCTAGATGTTGTTAACGGTTCGGTTCCAATCGGTTCTACGTTTCCGGTTCCAAAATCCCACCCCTAGTTTTGCCTCCCCTGGAACCTCCTATGTGTCGCCTATCTCACCCTTCTTTGACACAATGTTGCCTGTTTCTGCTGAGGACTCACGTCGATCCTGTTTCAGCGTATCTATCTTCTGCTGTTACCTAGTACCCCCTGAGCTTGAGAAATCATCCACTGACCACTTATTAGTCCCTATTGGGCTAGTCTTCCCCCCTCCGCCAACCCTGAGCTCGACCCCAAAAGTTTTCTCTAGCACAATACCCTCCTCATATTTCAAGGGACATAATTTATCTGAATGCCCAATCACCCCACACACGAAACAGAAATTAGGTAGTTTTTCATATTTAAAATCTACCAAATGTCCAATTCCCTCTTTTTTCAAACTAGTTCCCTTCTTCAAAAGTTTTCTCACATCTATACACACCCTAATTCTCATGTAAGATTTCCATTTTTCCTCAAACTGGTTCTTATCAAAACTAATACATGTGCCAATATAGTTCTCAATTCTCTTAGCAGAACCCAGATTCCTAAATTTAAAAGGAACATTGTGAACCTGTACCCAGAAGTCAGACTCACACAAACTCATCCTTTCAGGTATATCATATGGCTGAACAGCTTTCAAGAGAAGTAAATCTCTCTCAAACAACCAAGGGTCATCCTCAAGCACACGATTCATATCCACAATATGATAGAAAGTGAAAAGGTACCTTTTATCTCCAATTTCCTTGATGGAAACCCCTTTCCTCGGGTGCAAAAGTTTTCTCTAGCACAATACCCTCCTCATATTTCAAGGGACATAATTTATTTGAATGCCCAATCACCCCACACACGAAACAGAAATTAGGTAGTTTTCATATTTAAAATCTACCCAATGTCCAATTCCCTCTTTTTTCAAACTAGTTCCCTTCCTCAAAAGTTTTCTCACATCTATACACACCCTAATGCTCATGTAAGATTTCCATTTTTCCTCAAACTGGTTCTTATCAAAACTAATAAATGTGCCAATATAGTTCTCAATTCTCTTAGCAGAACCCAGATTCCTAAATTTAAAAGGAACATTGTGAACCTGTACCCAGAAGTCAGACTCACACAAACTCATCCTTTCAGGTATATCATATGGCTGAACATCTTTCAAGAGAAGTAAATCTCTCTCAAACAACCAAGGGTCATCCTCAAGCACACGATTCATATCCACAATATGATAGAAAGTGAAAAGGTACCTTTTATCTCCAATTTCCTTGATGGAAATCCCTTTCCTCGGGCGCCAAATTGAAGCCAAAAGATCTTTGAATACCTGAAGTTTGATTTTCCGGTCCGTAAGCACTACTCCGACCACCGGAAATTCCAATCTTTCGTCGGCTGCATCCATCTCCCCGACTTCCTCACCATCAAAATTGAGTTCATTGTCTTTCTCTCCAATAGCCATCTTCTTATAGTTATTGACGATATCATCCATAGAAAACAGCCCCCACACCGAGGTTCGATCCTTCCCCTCCCATTTCGGCCAAAACCGAAAAAAGCAGCCGCCGAGCAGACGGAACCCCAAACCGCACCGAGGACGATTGTTGAAGCTTGCGAGATACTAACCTAAAGCCGTTCTTTGATCGAAATTGAAAACGGAAGAAGAACCTCTAACGGCGGCTAAGCCCTAGAGAGCAACAATAAACATATACATGGTGCATATTATATCTGTATTAATGCTAAAATAAGTTAAAGTTTATCCTCAATGCACCAAATTGTTTTTACAAATTAAAGTAAGAAGTAAACTGATTGTAGTGTAATTTAGTGTCAACAAACATTTATATTTTGGATTTACTTTGCATCATCTAAAAATTGTTTAGCTATTGTGTCTGATATTTAATATCATTGATATTTTACATATCGAGTACTAATTATCTAATAAAGATAATTAAACATTACAAAATTAAGAATTTTGATATAATAGGTGTCCTAAGTCTTAAACAATGAGTTGTTCTATTGTTTATTTGTTTAAATTATGTAAATTATTTTAGATTTTGCTTATTTTAAATCTCCAATTAAGTGTAGTATTACATTATGTGAACTTATATATTAATTTTGAAAACTAAAATATAAGGGGGGCGAACACATATATATCTAACTAAAGTCTGAAAATATTACATATATACTAGAAAAATTTGAAAGCCCAAGGGGGGCGGTCGCTCCCCGCGCCCCCCTTAAACCCATCCCTGTTTCATAGAATCATAGATGGGCTGGACACACGAAGCTGAAACGAATGCACGAGTCATAGTTAATGGAGCTTATGCAGAACCCGGAAAATCAACATTACTATATTAGTCTATTAGAGCTTATTGAGATGATACAAGGTGGATGCTTAAGCATAATGTTAATATTAGAGTTACACGTTGTAAACGCTCTGCAAACCATACTGCACATACGTTAGCAAAAGGCCAAAAGCAGTAGGTTCTGCGTCAGGACGAAGGAAGATTGTTTTCTCCTCCATCAATTACTGTATGTCACTTGGTCAACGATATTCTAAACTAATATAGTTGCTTGTTTATGATAAAAATAAAACAAATATACCACGTAATATAAATATAGTACAATAGAATGGTTTGAACCAAGGTGCTGCAACGGCAATAGCCAAATTGCCAACCCATAGAGCGGTTTAATCATCATTGATTGCTGGATGCAAAAGTAAAAGCAACGTACAATTGCCGCCCTTAAATTGGTCTGAATATAGATCAATGAATTCACATACTTCTCCTTATTCTTGTTACTTTGAGATTAAGCCTCCCTCCTGTCCACGGTCTTCCCCCCTCCCATCTCTCTCTATATATACACGCTTTTAATAGTTGCTTGCTTAAATCCTGTTCTTGAACGTTTAGTAGTACTTCTACCACTACAGTCTACAGTCTACACATGGGAAACTGCTTGGCGAGAAAGGCACTTCAGGAGAAGATAAGCAAGACTCCGAGAGAAGACATGAGCAGAATACAACCGCCCCAGAAAGAGAGGAAACAGAAAAAGACAGTCAGGTTTAAGCTTGACAACTGCGAAGAAGAAGCAGAAAGGAGGAGACAAGGGGGTGTGAGGATTACGGTCGTCATGAAGCGGGACGAGTTACGCCAAATCTTGGAGGGAGGAGAACCATTGCTCTCCTCCTCCCAGGATGCTCTTCTTCTGTCTGAAACCATCATCAGGCTAGGGAGTATAAAGAGGAGAAGAATGGTTCCAGATGATGAACCTTTTTCACCTTCCAACGGCGTAGATTTCACATCCACACCAGCTCTGGAAAGTATACAGGAGGACTTGTAAAGGCTTCTTCAACGCTTAACGGACCACTAATTATTGATTGTGTATTACAGTATTAGCATTTTATATACAACCACTTATTAATAAGACCTGACGTGACTGCTGTGGTTGAATTATACGGAGTATATATATATAAGATCTCATCCTGAAATTGTATTGTCATATTTTGAAATATCATGTTTTACTCTGAGCAAATTTTGATTTCATTATGATCTGTTGCAATCAATTTAATGAATAAATTACAAAGTATCATGTAAGTAGAAATGTAGAATGACAGAATGAGACCATTCAATCATACGAGGGAGATGTTGGAAAAATTGTTGTCGCATTCCTAATTTCCTATTACATGAATAATATTTTTTTCCCCAACAAAATGTCAAAATCCTTCAAATATATATGTATGTATGCTCAAGCATATGGTGGTCCAGCACCATACATGCGAGAAGGAACGTTTATCTGAATGAAATATTATTTTATATTAGCAATAATTGAGACAATTAATCAAATTTATTTTTTCCCCGGTTGAGCTTCTCGATCCAACAGATGTAGGTGGGGTAGCTCATTCATTGCTTAGTCAACTGACGAATAACATACGGCAGAATACCTCCATGATTGAAATATGCCAACTCCACCTACAGTGAGAGGATGAAAACACGTTACTAGTATTATTTTATACATCTATTCAGTTTTTTGTATTTTGTTACCAGTTTTCCCAGGCTATTTTTGGACAACTATCCTAGTATTCTTTACATATTTTAGATGAATGAATCATGACCGTTCATCACGCCAATGTGCATTGTAGTGCGCACATGAAGGACAATAGACTAAACATTGAAGGAAACAAACTATGACAACATAACAAGACATTGAAGCCAATGACTAAACTTATACTACGTATTTGATATTTGTTGAAACTCGAGTTATTTTATTATTATAACTATATGAAGATCAAGATTCATAAACATATCTAACAATTAAAAAACAGTTCTCGTAGTACAGTTTCCCATTAACTTTCCAATGCCAGTGCAAGTGTAGTGTGTAGGGTCGAGCTCAAAATAATTTTTTGGCCTAGTATTTCTTGGATGCAAACACACCCTGGTATATTTTTTCAATTAAGAGTGAATTGAAGAAGTAGATGATATTGAAAAGTGTTACCTCAGTATCAAACCGCGCTGTGCAGGTGAAAGATTTGCCAGTGTCAGTTTGAACAGTCACATCCTGCCCAGGACGTATGTCGCTGATATTGCTGGGGAGATCAATAGAGTAACACTCCTGCCCAGTCAATCCCAGTGTTTCGGCATCCTCTCCAGCCTTGAAACATAAAGGAATAATACCCATCCCTACCAAGTTACTCCGGTGTATCCTCTCAAAGCTTTTGGCAATCACAGCTTTTACTCCCTGTCCCACCATTCACATCAAATTTACATTCAAAACCAGAACGTAATACACACACACAATTGTGATTGATGTCCCCTGTTTTATCTTTACAAATTTTGTTTTAGTTTTCTTTTGTTCTTTTTTCAAATTTCTAAAACGTAATATAGTGGGCTGATCTGTTTTGTATATCGTATTCCATAGGATGATGTTTATATATGATCTTATAAAAATTCTAATTTTCTAACTGTGTCGACCGGAAATATGGTGTTGAAATTAATGCGGACAACGCGAAATAATGCTCCAACAGATGTAGGGATAGTTGAACACAAAAACACTACCGTTGAACACATATTCCTGTCCTATTAATGAAGAAGCGAAACAAATGCAGAAAAGGATAATGTTATGAAACGATATAAACAGCTGGGCAATGATATAGGGGAAGTCTCACCAACAACATTGGTCCCTTGGCAGCCCAATCTCTGGAACTTCCACTTCCATACTCTGCTCCAGCCAATATTATGGTAGCCTGCCCAGCAGACTTGTACCTCTGAAAGTAATATGTTTTCTTTAGCTTTTTGCCCATGAAAGTAATATGTTTTCTTTGGGGAATATGGAAAGGACGGGGAAGGGGCAATATCAAAAGGTTTCATACAGAAAGCAATGAAAAATTATATAGAAATACATGAGTTGGCTACATATAGAGTTATTTTCTAATCTATCACTAATAGATTGTGATCCATTAGGAAAACGAATAAATGGCAAGCAAACAGTGCATTACCATAGCAGCATCGAACACATAGAGTTTCTCGCCCGTGGGGATATGAATTGTCTTGGGGCCAACTTCTCCATTCAGCAGTTTGTTTACCAGACGGATATTGGCGAAAGTACCCCTTGCCATAATTTCATCATTGCCACGCCGACTGCCATAAGAGTTGAAGTCCTTGCGATCCACCCCATGCTCCAGGAGGAACTTGGCAGCCGGACTGTCCTTGTGAATGTTTCCAGCAGGTGAGATGTGATCTGTGGTTATACTGTCCCCGAAATTCAACAAGCAATAGGCATCCTTCACACCATGTGGCCCTGGTGGGTCCATGGTCATGCCTTTGAAATATGGCGGCTCATGAATATATGTAGAGGTTGGGTCCCACGAGTACAATTTGGCTTCTGGGATTGACAACTCATTCCACATCGGGTTACCTTTAGTAATGGCTTTATAGGTACTCTTAAACATATCTGGCAATACACTTGATTGAACAGCCTAAAATGGAAAATGGTCAATTAATTTTTCCGCATCAACTTCTTCTATTAAACAGTTATTAAGATGGCATAAAGCAATGTATACCTCTGCAATTTCCTCCGTTGATGGCCATATATCCCTGAAATAAACATTCTTACCATCCTTCCCAACTCCAATGGGCTCTTTTTCAAAATCAATATCAACCTGCATACACAGTAAGATCCAAGATCCAATTACTATCACTCTATAATTGATAATTCATTTAAGTTCATGCTCTAATTTGTGTACACATTTGTTTGTTATAAAGAATATGTATCCATGAAGTGGTTCTTATGGAAACTTCATCCCCACACACACAAACACATATATACTCACTAAGATTTTTAAATTAATTTTTAAAACATTTTTGTTATAATATGAGCTACTAAATAAATAAATCGTCATCATAAAGTTATACAGAACAAGTAGGGTCATGACTATTTATAGATTATAAGTAGATACTCAAGAAAATAAGGAAAGAAAAAAATGCAATTTGACCAATGAATAGTAACTTAGTAAGTTAGTAACTAAGAGTCTAAGACAGGTACACTGTGTGTAATGTGTATATATATACTACCTCCATCACGAAAAGAAGTTCCCACTTTTCATTTTTAGATGTCCCAAAATGAAGTTCCCATTTTCATAAAAAGAAACCTTTTTAGGAAAAAGGGTCAAACTTTTTAGGTTAAGATGGCATGATTGACCATGTTTTTAAACGTACTTATATGATATGATACTCCATAGTCCGTACTTTTCTTAGTATAGGGACTGAAGTGATGGATAGGGAATAATAGAAGGGTCTCTTTGGCCCTTTTTCTATCATTTTATAGGAAAAGTCAGAAGTACCCATACTTTTTGCCTTCTTTTTACTTGATTTGACATAAAGTAAAACTGCAAGAGTATATCTAGACAGTCAAAACCAAATTTACCTTACATAAGTATGTGAGTAAGTCAAAGTGGGAACTTCTTTGCGGGACAGAGATAGCATATATATAGAGGAAGAGAGACATTGGGTGTATGCTTGTGTTTCAAAAAGTAGTAGCAACCCTATCATGTAAAGTGCACATACAAGATAAATACAACAGCTAATACATATGAAACAGAGCAATGACATACTGTGCCAGCAAGTGCGTAGGCGACCACCAAAGGAGGAGAGGCAAGATAGTTTGCTCGTGTTAAGGGATGAACACGACCCTCAAAATTACGGTTTCCAGAAAGTACAGCAGCCGCAACAATGTCTGAAAAATAGCAAGCCCTTACTTAGACACTATTATCGACACAAAACAACACTGAAGAAGTATATTCTCATGCGCAAAACCAAACACATATGCTCTATTTGGATGGAGGTAGACAAGCCAGGAAGGGAAGGCTTTATATCTTGATACATCGGTACATAATTGAGATTTTATAAAATTGGAAGGTTGAAGTAATAGTCACGTATAACGATTCAATCACCTTTTATTTGTTTATAGGATTCATTGATCACGAATATTGGCTAAGCCCCCAAAATCTTCCATCCAAATAGACCCTTTATGACAATTGGCTAACATTTTGTATATATTATTCTGATTTTGATTTCAGATTGTGTAAAAGAAATATACAAGTGTTGGGTGATGTTTCTGTTTCTGTACATTATTTGTAAAAAGAATGGTCTCACAAAGATGGGTCATTTTTTCAAAAATGAGATGTATTTTATAGATTGGTTAAACTCAACCAATCTTTTATCACATCTAACTTTGTGTTTGAACATAACAAGGACATAAATCTTGCCGAATAGTGCCCAAGTATTTTATGAGCAAATGGTAAAAAAATCTACATACCGTTTTCAGATATGGCAGAACCAACTGATTCATCTAAATCACCAGAATTGCCAATACATGTTGTGCACCCATATCCAACAATATTGAAACCTTGCTTATTTAGATACTCCTGCAGCCCACTGCATACAGCCACAAATAGATTGACGGTGACTATTTTTTTAGAATTTAGAAATATACATTGAAACGGTTTGGTGCAGATATTACCTTTGGAGTAAGTATTTTGTCACAACTCCAGATCCTGGGGCAAGACTGGTTTTTATCCATGGTTTTACCTGACATAAAGTACAAGAATATGAATTTCAACTAACTGTTGAAGTTGCAACCAACCATTCAAGTCTAAAGACAAGAACTGACATGTAGACCCAACTCAGAGGCTTTTTTAGCCACAAGTCCAGCTCCTAGCATAACACTTGGATTCGATGTATTAGTGCAACTTGTGATGGCAGCAATTACAACGCTGCCATGTTTCAGCTCCGCAGGCTGACCATGGAAAGAAAATTTTGCCACCTTTTCCTGTGCCTCCTTTGGCACAGCAAATCCCTGCATTGGACCGGAGTTCATTAGCAGCAAGTTTAACATGGTGATAGTCAGGTAAGTCAAGAGCCATTGATATTAAACAGGGAAAGTTAACCACAGAAACTAGGGAACGAATTGGGATCTCATTAGCATGGAATCTGGATCAATGTCTGAGCACAGCTTCAAGAATGATATTATTTATTGATTGATATTTAGGAGTAAAGGGTCAGTTTGGTACTCGAAGTTGCAAAAAAGGGGTCAAATAAGTCCTTATATAGAAGATTCTGTCCGGACGTGCCATTTGAGGTGGCTCCCGGTAGAATTTTTTGATGAAATTTTTTGAGCATCTTATTCGTTAAGTCTAGTTTACTCATACCAAATTTCAGCTAAAAATTCTATCGGGAAGACATTCAAATGAATTCTTGAAGATAACTGCGCTTTTAACGGCACAGTTATCTTCAAGAATTCATTTGAATGTCTTCCCGATTGAATTTTTATCTGAAATTTGGTACAAGTAAACTAGACTTAATGAATAAGATGCTCAAAAAATTTAATCAAAAAATTCCACCGGGAGCCACCTCAAATGTCACGTCCGGACAGAATTTTCTATATAAGGACTTATTTGACCCCTTTTTTGCAACTTCGAGAACCAAACTGACCCTTATCCCGATATTTAGTTTATTACTTACCTGTTACACTATGTGTTTTAAGACTATAAGTAAAGAGTCCTTCTAAAAGGAAAGAGAAGAGGAGGATTCCTATCAAGCCTATTATTTCTTAGTATTTAGTTCTTTACTCATTAATTCCAATCAATTGGTCCGATACACTGTCTTCAGTCCTTTCCTTTCACCTAGTCATATTATGAACTTCTAAAAAAATTATTATTTAACAAACAAATCAGTTGTAAGCACACGATCAATTAAAAAGCATGTCATTGAGGAGAAGCTGATCGGCTTTGACAATCACCTTGAATCCCACTTTGTTATCAAGGCAGGAATGCCAGTCAGACTTCATTTCCTTGAGAGGCACACGATCATGTGGTCTGCCATGATGACAAGTGAAATTTGAACATAAACTAGCGAACTATATAATGTAATAATAAATCCACTGTTACAACTCGAAGCAGATACCTTTTTGGCCCTGACAAACATGGTTCAACACCTTCAAGGTCTAGTTGCAATGATGATGAATACTTTCTTTCCTGTTGAGGCTGAAGTTCAAATGAAAAAAGCACTTGGATCAAACAAGGAATAGAGATGAAAGAACCCAATAGAAGGGAAATATTATTTGAAATGAACTTGTACCTCATTATAATCAACAAACATATTGTTTGCACGAAGATACGCCTCAATCATGGCAACCTAAATTAAAGTAAAAAAACATGAGCACCTAAAGAAGATAACATGAAAAGCACTTCTCCCAGTCAATTTGAGATATTGCAATGTAACATGATCTACGGGGAAGAATCCCATATGCAGGATAAATTTGAAACTTACAGTCTCATCACTTCTCCCAGTCAATTTGAGATATTGCAATGTAACATGATCTACGGGGAAGAATCCCATAGTTGCACCATATTCAGGAGACATGTTAGCAATAGTTGCTCTGTCAGCTAATGATAATTGACCGACACCATGACCTAAAAATAAAAAATAAACAATGACAATTTCCATAAGTTATATTCTAATTTCTAAGTAGCACGGAAACACAAAACAAGAAAATGAAAAGGGAAACGCAAGAAACGTGATTTCTAAAAAATAGGATACCAAATGTGAAGGGTAACACATAAATATTTACAAATACAAGGATATATTTATAAATATTTTTTCATATATTTACACATGTTTTCATTTATATATTTATGCACATTATTGTTTCATATAACTTGTTTGATAACTCAATAACATAAATGAATACATAAACACGTGTTCAAATTTAGAAATTGTCACATATTAGTGCACAACTAAATATAACATGTAGTGCATTTCTAACAATGCATTGTATAATGAAATGTTGCAAATTGCAATGTTGCTAAGAAGTTCCATAAAAAATCACTATAGTTTTATAATACGGAAATATTTTCCATCAAGCAATCCCATAAGAACCCAGAAACAGGAATTTGAAATTTCTGAGTTTCCAACACGCTTACGAGTTTCGAAAACGGGGAAACGTGAGCCGGGAGAAGTTTCCTTGTTTCATAGATTATATTCATGAAAGCTATAACATCTAGACAGATTAGGCCAAGTAAACAATTCTTTTTATGTAACCATTACCATGGAATTCAACAAACTTTCCAACAACTCCGTGCTTCCTGAGCATTTGGGTAACGGTCAAAACTAAATCTGTGGCTGTGACACCATTGCGCAACTTCCCTGTTAACTGGAAACCAACAACTCCAGGCAAGACCATACTCATTGGCTGCTCATGTACAAACAATAGCAGAAGGTTAATGTATTTAACTTGAAAGCTAAAGGGAAAAATGGGGTGTTAGCAGTAGGTAGTTACCGAATGTCTCATAGAGTTTATTGAATCAATTTTATAGTTAATTTACCTGACCAAGCATTGCGGCTTCTGCTTCAATACCTCCAACACCCCAGCCTGCAACTCCAAGGCCATCAATCATGGTGGTATGGGAATCGGTTCCCACCACACTATCAGGATAAAGTAAGCCATCAGTGTTGAACACAACCCGTCCAAGATACTCTAAGTTCACCTACAAGAATTTCATTGGTGTTCAAACTTAAAATAGTTTAGATATAAACCCAATACGTGTTTTTCGTCTTTTTACTCTACCAAAAACAAGTAATAAGTGAAAGTAAGCCATTTAAAAAAACATTAGTTTGCAAGTGACAATGAACTGGCATGAGATATTGAGATGTGAGAAGAATCAGTTTTAAGACTAGGATGATTTTCTTCAACTCCAGTACCTGATGTACAATTCCTGAACCAGGAGGAACCACAAGCATGTTGCGGAAAGCATTAGACCCCCATTTAAGAAACGCAAACCTTTCCTTGTTTCGCTGGAACTCAAGCTGCATATTAGCCTGTACTGCATTTTCTGTCCTTGCAACATCAACTTGAACAGAATGGTCAATAACTAGGTCTACAGGGACCTGCAATTCGCAAATCCGAAAATCCATTAATTAAATGAGATGAGATGAGGAATAACATGATATGAATTGCCTGTTTTAGTATTCCTATCATGCTAATCAAAACCAGAAGATATTCCCATACAGCATGCCGATGATTTATAAACAATGTAGAATCAAGCTATTGACATGTTAAAATCCTACATTTTGAAGGTATTGTATTCACTCAGATCAGCAGATAGATCTCATTATATGTATCACTCAAAAATAGTGTGTATTACTAAGAATGCAAAAATTGGAATCATACTTACCAGGGGATTGATCTTGTCAGAATCACTTCCAAGATTGTTCATAGCATCACGCATACAAGCTAGGTCTACCACTGCCGGGACACCAGTAAAGTCCTAGGTAGAAAAACAAAAGTTCATGTGAAGAATCGTTCTCGATTAAGAGACATTTTAGGGAGGCATGGAACAAAACCATTACTTGCAATAACACACGGGCTGGCTTGAAGGGTATCTCGACCAGCTTAGGAGCAGAGCTTTCCCAGTCAATTATTTTTTCAACATCTTCCTTCTTCACTTGAAAGTTGTCACAATTACGAATTGCAGATTCAAGAAGTATCCTAATAGAGTAGGGCAGCTTATCTGTTACACATGCATGAGATGAGAGACAATAGACCAGAAACATGCAAGTGCTGCAATTGCATTTAAGAACTATCCTCGCTACAAAGTTTCATTTACATTTGCAGAGTTGGCAAATGATATAGATATGTGTAACTACAGACATGAAAGATAAGTCCAGGTCAGATCATTTGGTATATGCTTATTATAAGTTTTTACTTTAAAAGTGAAAGGTTGATAATTTATTCAGAGAACAAAACGAGAAAGAAAATATGCTAGCCAACAAATATCCAATTTTTTCCCTAAAAAAAGACCAAGATAATGGGAGATGGAAGTTTAAAAAATCAACAACATATTTTTGAATCAGAAAGCAGGCATTTTTACTAAAACAGTAAGCATAATGGGTGTGAGAAAAATACCGATCCGTGAATCATTGAGAGCAGGCAGGCTGTAAAACTTTCCGAATTCACCACCTCCTGGCTTGGGGAGACTGGTAAGGATGCCTTTGAACGGATTTTCAGATGCTGGAGCCATTAACATAAACACAGTCAGAAACTGAGATTCGTTGTGTCCTTTTTATAAGCTAAGACTATAATGGAAAAAAAATCATTCAACCACGGCAAAGTTAGTAAAAGTTGACTTTGACTTTACAATTATCAGTGCATCTAATATTTCGTAAAATAGGATGAACAAAATATCTCCAGTCAATGTCATCAGCTGTGATGGACAGGCCCTACCACTGATATTGGATCAGATGAATTCGCAGTCATCGGAATAAAAACACCAATCTGAAATTATTATTCCGCAGTCCAAATGTAAAACGGAAATTGAACATCAAGAATAGGATTTGCCTTAAATGCCTAGGACTCGAGAATGGTCAATTTGCTAGTGTAATTTTATAATCAAACAACTGATGAAAGCAGAAAAGAGAAACAGTACCCATAGTAGCGATCTTCCGATGGAACTCGCTGAGAATGGGGGCGGCAGTCCTGATCTGGGCAGAGAGGCTAGCAGGGGACTTCCAACCGATGCCGTGACTCCAACCGGAGGAACGGATCGACCGCAGAGCGGACGAGAAGCTCAGGGACCGATGCTGCCGCTGGCGAAACAAAGGCGGCGGGTGGTTCCGGGCGGCTCTATGAAGCGGGGAAGCTGAGGTGAAAAAGCGGGGGCGGCACAAGGCGGAAGATGAAGCTCGTAGGAGTGAAGTTGCGGCTGCAGAAGAAGAGGGTGAGTTTATATACATGACGAGTTTGCGTGTGCGGGTCGACATCAATATCTACAGATCACGCTCATTGAGAAAAAAATGATGATGTGGTTATGCGAGGGATGGGTGGGGTGGGTGTTTCTTGATTTGTGTGCTGGGTTAAGCCGAAATAAATAACAGACGGAGGAAGAAGGTATGGAAATGAAGCAGCTGAGATGGCCCTGTTATTGATTGATGAGTATAAATAAATATTCTCCATATATGCAAAGCGACATAAAAGGAATGGGAGAGAAGTATGGAGTGTGGATGCCATGGGACTTGGTAGGCTTTTTTGTGCACTTCGTTTTCGTTATTCTTTAACGCAAAAAAAAAAAACATAACAAGCACTAATAATAGTTTAAGGGACGAACTGAATAGTAAGTATTTTTTGGTCGAAAGGGGCTTATATCGATAAAAACCATTCCGCTCGAGTGAAAGAAGACAAAAGGACCATGTGTAAGTAATGTAATCATTCACTCTTGATCGAGACTCTGAGTTAATCACCTTTGACAAAACAATATAACTCGTTGGACCTAACTTGAATAAAATAAAGCCAACGACAATTACCGTAGACCTCTCATCCTTCAAACCTAATGCAAGAGTCTTACAGCATAAAATAAAATAAAAACAAAACACAATCGTCCTAGCGTGGAAATTAAAATGCAAATACGCAAAAAAATAGACACCATAGCTAGTCCTCTTGAGTAGAATCACCAAGTGCACCATCGGCGGTGGTTCAGGAGGAAGCTGTATCATCGGTACCTCTCTAATTGATCCTCCATTGTCGATCGAAATTTGGCCTAGACAAAAACCTCCCAACTCTCCTCGTCCCACACTCGTAGCAAAACCGCCACTGGCGGTCATCTTCTTCGTTGTCAAGCCCTGTGATGCATTCATCTTTCCTTGCTACCCTGCCTTGCTACTTTGCGGCGCCCCAACAAACCCTCGTGGCCGCAATCCTCTTGGATTCTGACTACTTCTCTCTCGTTAATCTTCCTCCGCGAATGGTCCATAGAACTCCGCGAAGAAACCGATCAACAGAATCTTCGTCGATCTCTGCTTTCGTGCTGAACAGCAAAATCCCCAACATAATACGAAGTATATACTAATAGAAAAAATTACACAAATATCACCACTTTAAACCCACTAACAAAAATATGACTTTTTGCGCTCTAACTTACTCCCATGATGTCATATGTGTTCCATATTAATAGTCACTTTTTGTAATCCCGTACACTGTTAGTAATATTTATGTAAAAATCTCGGTAGGACTAAAAATAATGAAAATTCCGTAATAGGAGTTCAAGTTTTTTATTCCCTAAATAGGACTATATTAGTCCTGTAGAAAAATCGAACGACATCTCCCTCTCCAACGGCTCTCCGTGCATCGCAACCACCACCGCCACTGACTCTGCCGCCTCACGCAGTCGTCGTCACTACTGGCTTCACCATGCGCCATCGCAAATATCTCCTCCTCCTCCTCCTCCTATTCCTCTATTTTAATGAGATTAGACATTGATTTTTCTGATCTTCCTCATATTTGTATGAATTTCTCAAATTTGACATTGATTTTGTCAATTTTTAGAAATTTTGTTTTGTATTTTCTGTTTTTTTATTTTTGATTTCTTAGTTTTTTAAAAGTTCCGGTTTTCCAAAAGTTTGGATGATGGTTTCATATTTTTCCAAGTTTATGGTAGAAATATGTAGACTGACAAACCTATTATGGCATAAATGCTTTTGTGTAAACTGATTTCTCTATTTTTTTGTCAATAGCTTCTTATTTTTAATTTTCGATTGTTCTAATGTGCTTGTTTCATTTTTTGACTTTTTGAATATTTGGTTATTGACTTCATATTTTTGCCAAATTTATGATAATTTTGTATCAAACTTCCTGCATAAATCTGCCAACTTTATGACAGATATGAAAAACCTTGTTGATGGCAGATTCCAAATACTCTTTAAAGCTAAATCTGCCAACCTAATGGCAGATATATGACGTCATAGTTGTGATGACAGCGGCGGTACTCAGAGGTAGAGCGGTGGCGCATGATAGATGGCGAAAGCTGGTGATGGCGACATGTTGAAACACTGGTTGGGCGACACCGCCTGGCGGCGATGGATGGTGGTACTGGCGAGGAGGCGGTGTGGGTGGAAGTGCAGCGGCAGACCATTCCGGTGATGGCGGCGGCAGGCGCCGCCGGTGATGGTTGTGGCAGGCGGGGGTAGGGGCAGGGGCGACAGCAGAGGTTGTTCTATTGCTACACTGAAAATTATAGGGTTTCTTCAATTTCTATTTTACTTTTTAATTGGAAGTTGAAATAAAATTTCATGAAGGACATTTTTGCACAAGTAGGTGATTTTAAGTCTTATGAAACATAATTTCAAATTAAAGTCCTATTTGAGCAATTATCTTCTATTTCAATGAATGGAATAGTCATCCATATCATTTTGATCAGATGCACCTGCACCGTGAGTCCCAAAAAACATGTCCAATGCTTCCTGTTAACAACCCTATTAAAAGTTCATGAGTCAACCGTATATTTTCAAGATGAAACAATGTGTACATCATATTTCATCAAAATCCTCTTGCGTAATGTGTACCCACACTCCAAACCTTCAAGATCTGTTGACAAGTTTACATAATGGAAAAATTATGTACCAATTCTTAAACATACATAAAAAATTTACGGAATACCTTGAACCTGTAAATGTTTTTTGTTCTTGAATTATACTCTGTATACATAGGTGTAAAGAGATTACATGTGAAATTATTTTTGCCGAAGAGAAACCCAGTACTTGGGTGTATGTCGTGGATGATGAATCTTAAATTATAGATACGGTTTATGGGCGGGAGACTTCCCACTTACCGGATTTTTTTGTTACGGTATTTCTCCCCCGATTTTGCTGAGTCATCGTGTGGAAGACGCTGTTATCAGAAGACATTCACTTGAACAGTGTTCACATATTTTTGGAACACTTCAGATTCACATGAATTAAGAGAGGTTGTGTTGGAGACAAAATTGTTATGAATAATGTTGACATGATGATGTGGCGACTTTTATAAATGTGAACGGTTCATCCATTGGTGATGCTCTAAGAGCATATCCAATGCTACAATCATGTGTGCGGTGCACATGTGGCATGAGAGACGACCACATAAATATTATCAAATAAATCATCTCTCTCCTTATTTGGATGATTTTATACAATATTTGTTAGTTTTTCTCCACAATGTCAAGACCTTTGTCTAGATGTTGACATTGTGGTTGACATTGCCGAGAAAAACATACCAAAATTGTACAAGTATTGGAGATGTTCTAAGATAGAATGTAAGAAGGTGAGTGACTAGCACTTTGTCGTAGTGCGTCAAAATAATTCGATACTAACACTTATATGTAGTACAGTGGAGTAGAGCTTGTATCCACAGTGAAAGGAATAACTTTCTTTTTATGAACTAGTAAATAGGGGGGGGGGGGGTTGGGATTGAGTGATTTAATTTAATTAAAACGAAGATGAATGACATATATGTGATTTAATTCAAAGATAAAAAGAACTTGGCCTTGCTACTTTCAACTTGTTGATATATTTAGTCGATCATCATTATATCTATAACTTATCCCCTCTCGAATACTCAATCGAGGAGCATCTCCAATTCATCGAGGGTGGTTATTAACAACAACCGTTCATTAATAACCCTTACTATTAATCAAATATAGAACAACGTCTTATACCGATTTAATAGTAGCATTTAATTTTTTTAACTCCTTGATGAAATCAATTGAGATTGATAACCTTAACACAACAGTTTCGGTTTAACCAACAAAATTAATCCCTCTTAAGTTTATCAACCACGACCGTGCATTAATAAACCAAAGTTACTTGTGAAACCATCAACGATTAACCATCGGTTCGTCGATCGTTTCTAGTAATAATTAATGTCGAGATGTTAACTAATTGTCATCTTAGCAACACTCCCCAACATTAATATAGAGATAGATTAAGGGAAGAATTAATATTCAAGGAGAGAAGTTAAGAAAATAACTCACAACTTTAATAATCAACCAGTTTCAAGAGCAAAACCAAGAAATTGAAGTTTAGCTCCTCATTCGGAGACTAAAAATGCTAGAAAAATATAAGAAAAATACTATTCTAAGTTGAGCTTAAGTATATGGAAGAAGGGATGATTAAAAGTGAAGGAAAAGTGTCACGCCCCAGACCGCAATCCAAGCGCGTGTACAACCGCCGTATAATAATCAAGTGACGTCACCCGCGAGTCAACCTCACTTAATTACACAAGGCGTTCGAGAAAAAATAATCCATCCATACTCAGTAGTAAACATACATAACAACATCACATTTAAACCAGTGAATAGCGGAAATATTCAATGGTAAGTCATAAGCCACAACCAGCCAACAACATGGACATGCAAGCCCCAAAAATAGTTTATAGTAGAACAAATATCTATGAGCAAGTGTTCGGTAGTTTGAAAGAAAATAAGGAAGCACGAACCACGTCTTCCTGAGTTGATATCACCCGTAAGAAGGTGCAAGTAGCAAGCCCTAGCTTCAACCTGAAAAGGGTGGGGCCCCCGGAAGGGGTCAGTACAAGTACCGAGCGAGTAGCAGGCTAAATATAGAATAACTAGCGTTTCAAGTATAAGACCCAAACATAGGGTGATACTTATATAAATAGTCTTTTCCCCCAAGTTATGAAATACTCGTTAGTATATATATACTTGGAAAATATCCGATCCGTAGATCACCATTTTATTTGGGAAAAATAGTAATAGTCAATATTCTTGACTAAAAACCCCCAACCCACCCATATACCTATGAGTGTATAGGACTCCTCCTTGTTCCTATTTCAATATCATAATCTATGAGTGTTAATGACTTTTAGTCCTAGGGTCCTCCACCAAGTTTTGAGTGTTAAGTACTTTTAAGTACTAGGGTCCTCCACCAAGTTTGAGTGTTAAGGACTTTAAGTCCTAGGGTCCTCCACCAAGTTTTGAGTGTTAAGTACTTTTAAGTACTAGGGTCCTCCACCAAGTTTGAGTGTTAAGAACTTTAAGTCCTAGGGTCCTCCACCAAGTTTTGAGTGTTAAGTACTTTTAAGTACTAGGGTCCTCCACCAAGTTTGAGTGTTAAGAACTTTAAGTCCTAGGGTCCTCCACCAAGTTTTGAGTGTTAAGGACTTTAAGTCCTAGGGTCCTCCACCAAGTTTTGAGTGTTAAGTACTTTTAAGTACTAGGGTCCTCCACCAAGTTTTGAGTGTTAAGTACTTTTAAGTACTAGGGTCTTCCACCAAGT